TACCAACTGTATCTAGACAAATACATACATCATGCAAAGAAACAGAAAAAAAAAAAGCTTTAAAGGAACTGCATGAAATGTGTTAACAGAAAGGGAAAACAAATCATGTTCTCGCTACAGCTGCACAAAAAATGTCTTACCTTGATATTTTTGAACTCCTTTTTCCAGGGGTACAGAAAGAGATTAATTCCAACTGTCTCGAGCATGTTGAATGCGCTGTGGAGACAATGTAAACTCGAGGATTTCACAGATCTCAGGGAGTTTTCAGCCATCTCGTAAAACTTAATCAACCGGAATCTATAAAAGGGATCGATTTTGGGAAGGCAAAGTAAGGCCGCTGCTGCCACTCGCAAGTACTCATCGTTAATAGGACGCTGCTTGTTGTCAGAGGCGTTCAGTTTGCACTCATGGAACTGTACATACTTCCGAAATAAATCGTCTTTGTATTTTGTATCCATTGAAATCAGCGTTTCCCTCGCGCTGGGGCAGCTACCTCGTCTCTGTCATGGCTATTTGGCAGGAGGTTGAGTGTCTGGCATCAAGAATCTTCAGCAGTGGCAACTCTCCTGGAATAGAAATTGGAAACAAGGACAAGTCACCCCAGATGCCTACACACCCCAGATGTCCACAGCATTTCCCTGCCCCATGGGGCTCTGCAATCCTGCTCTCACGGAGCAACAGCTCCCACAACAGCCTCTCCAGGGCTCGGGAAAAGTGTGAGCGGCCACAGAAATGCTGCTGTCCTGCTTCTCACTGTCATTCCCTGCTCCTCTCCCAGGTCCATGCCCAAGTCAGCACCACCAGGCAACGCCGAGAGCTCGGTACAGCAGAGCTGGGCAAGCTCCAGCCCACACTGAGGCTTCCCTGGCTCTGGGAGTTCAGGGAGAAGTAACTCACAGCAAAAAACTGCAAGGAGAAGGATGAGCTTTTAGAATATCTTCTCACCATTTTATTTTTTCCCCTTCAGCTCACACAACTTATACAACACTACTGTAAAGAGTCACTGGGGGGGGGGTTGCCCTTTTATTTTTTTTTTCCCCGTGCACAGTGATACAAAGTTTAAAAAAATTCCACAAAGAAGTTTCATTCTGCTCATCGAGTAAAGCATCCACTTTTTTTCCCCTCTTGTGGCACAGGATTGACCCTAAACTGAGTAGGTTTATTAGTAAATAATAATAAATGCCTTTCGATTTCTAGCATTTTCTAGGCTTTTGAAAGCCAGCCCCGCTTTGGGGCAGCTCTGCAGCCACCTCCAGAGGATCCCCCTACCCCGCAAACCACAGCCCAAGTTTCAGCTGAATGCTGGCAGCTGCAAACACAACTATCATCTTTTAGGCAAAAAAGCTACACCTGCCACCTTCAACTGCTTTATTGAAACCGAGCAAAAACATTTAAGTGTTTCCAGCGTGCGCTTTTGTTGGCAGAGATAGTTGCTTTTATGGACACACTGATCTACATTTTCACCTCACTGAGCTCACACACTGCGCTGAAGGAGCTGGTGACAAAAGAAGCTCCCAAACGCTGCTTTGCCAAAACAGAGGTAATTAACAGGCCAACGACTCCACCTCGATTGCCCGAGGAACTCGTGATCAAAAAGCAGACCACAGGCTTTGTTCTCTACCTAAAAAGACAACCCAGCCCTTGAACTGATGGGAGGTGGGAGAGATCAGTGTAGTGTTTCAACTGTAGTCAGTCTGAAACTGCACTTCAGAGAAGACTTTTCGCCCAGTATTAATAGCTGATAGAACCGTGATCAGCTCCCCCCCACTCCTGTTACAGTGAAAATCACTGCTAAGAGCAAAATTAACTGAATGAAAGGAGCCAAAACGCATAATACCAACAACCAAGAGGCCTGGAAAACAAACAAACAAAACCACCAGCCTAGCAGTTAACATTCCCTGATGAAAGGCCGTGCTCAGTGCCAGCCCCGTGTGGGGAAAGTTAAGTAGCAGTTTGGTTTCTGCTCCCAGGCACACGGTGGTAGTGTCAAGAGACAGGCTGTGAATCACAGATGTGGAGTGCTAAGTTAACATCTGAGCATAAGGGCCAG